TTGACAGCAAAATTTTGGCAGACACTATAAAATTTTGTCATATACAGGGTGTCCCAGCCGAGAGTGAGCCATTTGAAATGCTTATAACTTCTAAACTAGTTGTGCTAGTGACCTGCAGTTTGCGCCATTCGACTTCTCCTGGCCTAAAGTTTTTTTTAGTAGGTTACAAATTTTCTTGCCTCTCATACAGGGCAAGTAAAAAAAATCCACTTTTCAACATCGAAATTCTCCACTATCTTTAATACAACACCCTGTATATCACAACGTCAAAAAAAAAGAGTCATGCTAAAGGTATCCATGTACCAATAAGCATCATCTTTGAAACTTAAAGTTTTAGCCGTAAAAAAATAAAATCTAAATCCTTGTATTTTAGCATAAGCATGGCAGCTTCATGTTGTATTGTATGTATGGAAGTGGAGAGGCGTGATTATTCAGAAACATGATTCTATTGGTTAGAGCTTGAACGACAGCACGCAGTGGCGTGGTTATTGGCGAAACTAGAGAATATTTTTTCTAATAATTTTATTGGTTTATTTCCTTGGTGTTTTCGGTGCCACTGAACTCAAAGACATGGCTGTCATCAGACGGTGTCAGTTAAGGTGTCAGTGAATATTTTTAGGTAACGCCCCAGTTTTCTTCCCCCTTTCGTCTCTACCAAGTTACCACTTGCCAGACTATAGGTATGTACTTGCTATCACTATGGCAAACAATTTTTAAATGTGTGTGTAGTTGGACATCAACTAAGTTAAAATAAATTGTCCACGAGAACTTAACAAGTTCCAGTGAGAATTAACGAGATACCCCAAAAGTAACAGTTTGGCGTGGAATCTCTGTTGGGGAAAAATACGGAAATAACATCTGTAAATAAGTGATTTAAATTAATACAATTAAATATAGTCAAACACTTATAAACTTAATAATAATTAAACTTTGAGACTTAACATTTAACAATATTATTAAATAACGCGATTTAATTTTTTTTTAACTACGTTTTTTAAAATGGCTTATTATTACACTAGGTCTACAAATTGTCAGTAGTATTATTATTGCGTAAAGTAACTTTTTTTTATCAATTTTCACCTATAAATACCAGAAAAATATTTCAAACTTAGTTTTAGTTTCGTAGAAAAAAAAATCAATTTTTTCAAAAAAAATTACAGAAACTATACATTTTTCACTCATTTGCGGAATGGCGACGTGGTTTTTTCGCTGCTCTCTTATATTCTGCTTCTGGAACATCTCGACAAACAGTCCAGCAATAATCCGCCAACATGGCAACATTTCACTTGCCCTGATATCGATTTTCCATGATTGCGATGTCCTTATGGAAGCGTTCTCCATCGTCACTCAATGCCCAAAAGTTGTCTGGAAAGAAGTCTAAATGAAATGTAGAGAGTGGATTTTCAGGGACATGTTGCAACCTAGTTCTTGATACGATCGTAACATATTTCCAATTAGTTCAGCATAGTTGTTGGTCCTCTTATTTCCTAAGAAGTTTTTTGCCACAAGACGAAAGTCTTCCCAGGCTTTTTTTTCTGTGCCTTCCAAGACACAGTCAAAATTATTATCTTTAAATAGTGTTCTAATTTGAGGACCGATAAATATACCTTCGCTTCACTTAATATATCTTGGAAATTTCTGGCGAAGGTACTGAAAAGCAGCTCCATTTTTGTTCATTGCTTTTACGAAATTTGTCATAGGCCCTAGTTTAATATGCAACGGTGGCAATAATACTATTTGTGGGTCAACTAAAGGGTAATTTTTTTGCCCAGGTTGAAGTGACTGACGATGACGCCAGACCTTTTTTTATGTAATGCACATTTCTATCATGACTATCTCATTCACAGATAAAACAACAAAATTTCGTGTAGCCCATTTGTAGAGCAAGCAGAAGAGCTACGACTTTCAAATCTCCACAGATTTGCCATCGATGTTCATCATACTTAATCCGCAACAAAAGGCTTTTCATATTTTCATAAGACTCTTTCATATGGACTGCGCGACCAATAGGAATCGACGGTAAAATATTTCCGTTATGTAGCAAAACAGCTTTTAAACTTAGCTTAGAGCTATCTATGAAGAATCTCCATTCGTTTTGTAGATAGAAAATATTAAGTGCTCTCATCAAACCACTGACATCTTCACAAAAGCTAAAGTGTCCACCCTAGCAAAATATTGCATCAACTCTTTTTGTCTAGTACGGAAAGAAGTTTCGGCCTATAAATTCTGTTTTGCTCTTTGGCAATGCTTAGTCCTTTACGAGATCGTTTAACTCAGCTTGCGTTATCTTGTGTGACTGTGATGATGTACTAGGTGCTTTGAAATCTGACATTGATAAAGTTAATGGTGAACTGTCTGTGCTTTCATCTTCTTCGTCGTTGCCAATGTCAGGACGCTCCGGGATTGAGTAACAGAGGACGAGTAGCCGTTGGTATTACATTTGGATATAAGGTACTATGGCTAGGAATGGCAGTGTTTGCCAAAGTGATAGCAAGTACAGTACATACCTACAACATGAAGCTGCCATGCTTATGCTATAATACCAGGATTTAGATTTCAATTTTTTACGGCTAAAACTTTAGGTTTCAAGGATGATGCTTATTGGTACATAGATACCTTTAGCATGACTCTTTTTTTTGACGTTGTGATATACAGGGTGTTGTATTAAAGATAGTAGAGAATTTCGATGTTGAAAAACTGATTTTTTTTACTCGCCCTGTATGAGAGGCAAGAAAATTTGTAACCTACTAAAAAAAACTTTAGGCCAGGAGAAGTCGAATGGCGCAAACCGCAGGTCGCTAGCACAACTAGTTTAGAAGTTATAAGCATGTCAAATGGGTCACTCTCGGCTGGGACACCCTGTATATGACAAAATTTGATAGTGTCTGCCAAAATTGTGCTGTCAAATAAATCTTCTGCCTATTTGAATTTTGAATACACTAGAGCTGCTCTAACGCTTTCATGAATATCAGCTATTATCAGTATTGTTTACCATAAATCAACTTGTCATTATTCTAGCGTCTGCCAAAAAAACGCTGCCGTCTTTTTCGTCTGCCGATATTTTTTCTGAGCGTACGTTAGTAGAGGAATCGATTTGCAAAAAAATAAAATTTGATCAATGTCGTTCACTAAAACTTGAAAATTACAAATTTGACAGGCGTCTGCCGAAGTAATGCTGTCAAACAAATCGTCTGCCTGTGTAATATTGATAAGTCCTCAAACTGTTAATTCGTTTCCGAAAATTTCGATCTTGATCAATATCGTTCACCAAAATGAAAATTCATCCCTTTTTAAAATTTAACCCCCGATTAAAGCTGCCACCCTGAAACGGCAGACGGTCAGTTTTGGTATGTCCAGGTCACCCTCAATCATGATTAATTAATAAAAATTTTGATCAATATCGTTCACCGAAAAACCTGCCAGCTCCTATACTATATGTGTATACAAGAGTGTGTATTAGTGGATGTACCGATATATTAAAAATCGCGTCGGTCGTCAGTCTTAACAGAATTTAGTGAAGTAGGTATTTAATTCTGACAAAAATTACATTTCAGAACCGCAGAAACATAATTTTTAATTTATCTTCACAACTGGTTAACAAAATAAAAATAAAAATGGAATAATGATTGATAAGTAGAATGCCTAACTAATAACTATATACTTATTTATAGGTTGTTGGGTATATACTCAAGGGGGTGACTTATTGTCCTGTATGGTAGGTTTATAATTGATGTTTTTTGTCGGACAGCAAATTGGTCGCGATATATTTGTCGGACACTTATATTACATGTCGACTACTTCTCTTACATACATGATTCTTTTTTTGTCCGACAGTTATTTATTAATTTTTTGGCTTCGTGAAACCGATAATTTTCTCGCGTCGGACTGGAAAATCGGAAAATCTACTATGTCGGACACTTGAATATTTATATTATACATATCTTTATTAAGTCTTCCTGAAAAAATCGGCTCGTTATCCAAAAATTTTTTTAACTCGTCAATTGGATATGTTTAAGTTGGTAGACACCCTTAACGGTCCAACATTTTTGTCGGACACATTTTTTTTCACGTTTTTCATGAATTTGTCTCGCGATTTCACTAAAAGTAAAAACGATATCCATAAATTTTTTGCACCATGCGAAATGGTCGGCTTTCGGAAAAACTAGAAAAGAAATGCCCCCACTACGAAAGTTTTCATAAAGGAAAAAGGTGGTAGACTAGGCGCAATTTAGCCTCACAAAACTTTCCATGAGAGTATTCATAAATGCAACTTTATGTCGCTGGGCACCTACACTAATAGCAGGTGCTAGAGAGGGTAGGGGAGAGGAAAAACGAACAGTTCAGTAGCGCGAATCTCTGATGTACTGGGAACGCCTATAAACAGTCCAGGGCGCTCTAGAGCAGCTCACGAGTGCAAAGTACGTCACTGGAAAGCGACTCAGATCTGCTCGCTCGGGTTTGGGAGGGCGGATGGTTAATTTGTGTCATTACCATCATTTTTGTGACCATCGGGTTTGGGGGGGCTAACCTTGAGCTTGCGGGGGCTAAGCCCCCCCCCTAATTGCGCCACTGCGCAGTCCTATATTCAAAATAGTCTCCGAGAAAATTCCTTGTGAAGTTAAATTATGCAGGAACTTGTGATGTCACAACCGCGGAAATCGCAGTCTTCTGTTCATTCAGTCGTCAGCGAACCGTAGGTACCCTATAATTTGAGTGGTTTCAATTCGCACTAGAAGATAATTGTCTTTTGTTTTGGAAAATTCTTACACGTGTTAATACTGTCCCTGATAATCCAGTGTGACGTCACAAACACCTAGTTCTAACTTTAAACCGCCTTAACTCGAAAACGGACCATCGTAGCAAGATGCGATTTCAATATTTATTCTTAGATTTTTTTGCACTAGAACTTTCATTTTTAGGTCACACCCATTCAAAGGGGGTAACAGCACTGATGAATGGGCATATCTAGTGGATTAATAAATAAATGAATACACCAAAAATATTAACGACAAAACATATATTACATAAAACCCAATGTCACCATTGACATTAAAAAAGGTCGCACACAAGGGATTTTTCAACATAATATAATATATACCTACTTCATATAAAAAATTATTAAATAATACTAGGTGACACTTACTTCTGATATCAACATAAAAATGTGACTGGAATAACCGTCTATATACAATAACGAAAATACATCAAGCCTTGAATGAATTAAAAATAAAATAACTATAGACATTATTTGTAATATTTAAGTCTCTTGAAAAATTGTTTGTCTTGCTTATGTTATTCCAGAATATAATTATTAAAACAGACAATGTTTAGTGACAGTGATGTAACAATATGAGCAAATTTTGGGAATAGTGCTTGAACAAAAAGTCGAAAATTATTATCTATATTATCTTAGGAGTTTTCATTCAGGAAGTGTGTCAAAGTTAAATACTTGGGATAAAATTGAAATTGACAGTGTGGTAGGTACATGGTTTTTGATTATATTTGGATCCATACCTACAGCCTTTACTATTTAAGATAGAAAACAAATTTAAATACAAAACTTGACAGTGTTTTTCTATATTTTCTTTTAACGTTATTAGAAAAAACAAAATCGCATCGGAAAATAGAGAAGCGTAGACAACTTCGACTTTTTTTAACGGAACACCCTGTATATTTTGCGATAAAATGAAAGATCTTTTCTTCCTGATTCCAAATATATATATATATATATTGATCACATTTGAGTGAGCCGTTTTTGACATATTTTAGCTTAAATTATCAATAATTTGCAAAGAAATTTCATAAAGATGTCAAGACATTTAAATCTTTATAAAATTTCTTTGAATTTTATTTATAATTTGAGCTAAGATATATCAAAAGCGGCTCACCCAAATGTGATCAATGCATATATATTTGAAATCAGGAAGGAAAGATCTTTCATTTTATCGCATAATTTACAGGGTGTCCCATTAAAAAAGTCGAAGTTGTCTACGTTTCTCCATTTTCCGATGCGATTTTATTTTTTCTGATACCGATAAAAGAAAATATAGAATAAAACTGTTTTGAATTTAAATTTTTTTCCTATTTCAAATACACACATCAAAATAGTCTAGGGAACAAGATAATTCCTATACTTATCAGAAATTTTTGCTGATTTTATTTTTAAAATATTTAAACTAAATAAGTTTGCAAAAAAAAAGCCGACATGGTAAATTTGACAAAATTTGTTCAATAAAAATACTCACTTTATCTTTTTTAAAAAGTTGTTCTTTCCTAAAATTGAAAGACAGATATTTCTTGTTCCCTAGACTATTTTGATGAGTGTAGTAAAGGCTGTAGGTATGGTTCCAAATATAATCAAATACCCTGTACCTAATAAGGTGTTTGAGAAGCAAGTTACTCATTTCTGTATAATTGCTTTAGAGCTCCAATTGGGTCTAGACTATACCAGTTATATATTGTCCGTCGTTTTCAATTTTTAATCTGACACTTCTCCGTATGAGGAGTGTTTCATATGGTAAAAACAGGTGTGACGTCAAGTGACCATTGGCGATCTAACGTAGGGAGCCACCAGCTCACATTCCTTTGGAGTATCAGATTAAAATCGACGGACTGTATATTATTCAACCACCATTTAATCCGTTTTGATGGCGCTTAATTAATTGATGCATGATCTATCTGTCTTTTTTACATCCGCCGTCGACTTGCATCATTGTACTGTGCCAATGACGGTCTCTGCCCTGTGGTTTGTTCATCGTTTACAGTTTGGGTCTAAAATTCATCTTGTATGGATGAGAGGCAGTATAATTTTCCTTATTCAAAGTAGTCGTAAGCTGAGAAAATATGTTACAAATGATATACTATGGATTTCACTTGTCCAGCTTTGATTTCTCAGAGAAATTGGACCTGATGATAGGCATTCCCTATAGCAAGTATACTGGAATGCTGTGCCATTTATTTTGTGACTATCACTTTTGTTTTGTGTTATTTGCTACCTAAATTTAAAACCCTTTGTATTATTTCATATGCATTAAGCAGGACAAATTATCCTTCAATGCGCCTAGGTACGATTCTTATATTATATAATAAATGATATTGAAAAGAAATATGATAAATTAGAACACAAAAATGTAAGGTTAGAACATTTCATTATCTTGCGTACATATATTTTTAGCTTTAAGCCTATTATTTAAATTTTCTGAGATACCAGCGCTATTTGAATTTAATCACACTTGTGGGCGGGTCGTTATTTTCAGGTCCCATAAAAACGTCACTAAACATGTCAGTTAGAACAGAAATAAATAAAATTATTGAGGCTACTTAAAAAAATGGATCATAAGTGAAGGTGAAACCCAGAGGAGTTACCCGAGATGCGGCCATTTTTGACTTTTGAACTGCCATCACATATTCTGCACTTCGCCTAGAAATAGGGAAATTTGTTAGAAGAATGGCTCAATATAGAAAGATATAAATATGCACTTATTGCAACATATACTTATATTACCAAACCCAAAATTAATTAAAGTTTGTTAAAATCTGAACCGACACCTGATGTGATTTCTGCATGTATGTGGAAATAATCATTAATAAGCAGTGGAGGTTTATAAGTAAACAAAATACACATTTCGGTCAAGTCAATAACAGCTAGACATGGGGCATATATTTGTCCTTGCCGACCTCACAAAGAAATATGTTTTACTGCAATGTACACAAAATTTCCGAGAGGCACCCAATGTCAGGTTTACAGATACAGACCTCTACTCATATGCCTTCTTAGTTTTTTGGAAAATCATTTAAAGTAGGCTTTCCTGAAATCATTTCAGTTTAGTCTTATGAATTTAGTGTTAATACCAATATTGCTTTGAAAAAATTGGCTCCAAGAGGGCTTCCCAATTCAATAATCTAACATTACACTATACCTACTAAAAATTAAGAAAAGATATCAACTATTAAAATGACACAACTCCCTTTTCAAAATTATTTATTTTTTTTATAAATAAAATTATGTAATTATAATACGGTGAGTACTCAAGCATTATGGAAAATTCTGAGTGAAACTTCATGAGTTCACTCTGTTTGCATGGCCGACTCGCTACAATATCTGACAAGGGACGAGGCCACTCGCAAAGTGCGGACCGGGCTTCACGTCACCACAAAATAAAATTCTGCAATTAAGAAACTTTCACTAATAATTCACTCTTGTAGAGATTTTTATGCTCGAAGTAAGCTGTGAATTTTTTTGCAGGCATTTCTCTTGAATGTCTGATTGTTTTAAGCATGGTATCTGAGTTTTACGGAAATGTAATAAGTTTATCGACTTTCAACTGGTTCAATACCTACCAAAAAAAAAAAAGATATTTCTGAAAGCTCATCAACCCATATACTTGTACTAATTGTTGGTTGCGGCTTTGTACGCGTCTATTTAAAAAAAAAAAAAAACGATACTACCATGAAAACTTTTTTTTTTGTTTAAATATCCATTACATCAATAATAAGGAAAATCGAAATAGAGCCAAGCTTCTTCTAACTAAAGGGTATTTCATATCAAGAAATGCTGATAATTTTAGTGTGTATCCAGATTGCCTAGTATCTAGCAAGACAGGAAAGCAGCGATTGGTTTATGTTCCATTTTCCTAGTACCCGCACATCAAATTGAAAAAAAAAAAACTTTCATAGCTACCAAAATTTTGAAATAATATTCTCGAGAGAATTGGGCTAAGGAAAACCTATATCCCCCACCCATTTCCAGATGATGATTAGTATTTTAACTTTTAACTAAGTACAATCAAAAGCTACAACAAAACAATTTTATTTGTTTAAAATGTATTTATTCCACTTGTGACTTGTTGAAAATCAGTTTTTTTAATAAATTTGAATGTTCCGTTGAGGAATTTTTTAGTGCTCTTTGGAGAAATCGGCTTTTTTGCTATAGGGACACAAATTAAAAGAATTGTCAGGTACTCAACAAACGTTCCGTACAATATGCTTGTTCAACTAATAATTTGGGTATAAATGTTACAACTAATAACCTTTACACTTATTATCCACTTTTTCAAATTATTGAATCTTGTATAAATTATTCATATACCAACTAATTATCTTATTTAATTCCATCCACTCTACAGCCCTTATATTTTTAATAAATGGAAACGAATTATGACGCACGAAAAATTGGGAAACTAGGTAGGTAAATGATTTCTGATGGTGCAAATAAATTGTTCCAATTCAATTTGCACTCAGTTTAAAATTTACATGTTTGTATTATGAGAAATAAATAAATAGATAAATATTAAATAACACATTTCATAGTACTTAATCAATTATATTTAGAATGTACAAAGTGTCTCTGAAACTTCTAGTAATTTGTTTTATTGAGATTAAAAACAATAAAGAAGAGTGTGAGCCAAACAAAAAAAAAATACATGAAGCTCACTTAAATCACTAAAAAATGCAATTATTATGAGTTCCCATTGGTAGGCACTCTATCCAATTACAGGCCAAAACAACAAATAGTTATTTATTTGGGAACTTAACAACCAATTCGGATTCCTTCACATTTTAATATAAAAACTAACACTAGCGATTTTTTCAAATAGTACAGTTGGTGTCACTTTGAAGATTTACCTGTTTCAGTGGTCTGGTACTTTGGCTTCCCGTGGGTGAAAGGCAGGTATCGGTACTTTATCATGTGCTGAAAGAAGAAATAATATTAACTAAAAGAATGTGTGAATCTATATTCAGTCCCAAATACCCAGTCATAGAATTGCCTCAAACAAGTTATATGTGGAAGATCGGCAAAATATTTCCTTGTTTTAGCGATCTGAATCTGATAATATATGTTTTGAATTACTATAGGCTTAGTAGTTTGGTTGAACGGACACATGTTACGTTATGGTTAAGAAATTGTAGATTTTTTACAAGATTCAAAATGCCTCTCTTATATGTAGATCCGTGAGGGCAGGCCCACTGGAGCCTACTTAGGAGCATAATCTTGAAAAATAATCATTCGTAAATATAGCTTTTCAGTTTTTAGTTAGAGAAATAGTCAGATTTTAACAAATAATGGATATTCTGAAAAAAGTACATACCAAATTGTGATACAGAAAACATAGGAAAGTTGCTAATTAAATGAACTCACCCTTATTTGTCTTTTCATTGTTATGCAGAACAAAGTGATGAAATACATAACTAAAATGGGCCAGAATACTGGTATGTTGAAGCAATCGAAGAATGTACAAATTAAACCAATAACTGTACTTTTAGTCACTGAGTACCAAAATTTGAATTCTGGTAGCCGCCTGATGAATGGTCTAAATTCTTCATTTGCTCTTGTGGGTAGTTCCGGACCATTTTCATCTGCTAAAATATATATATTTTTTTTACTATTTTAGTAAGTAAGAAGGTTATTAAATAAGAAGCAATTTTTCCTTACCATCAAAGTCCATCGCAGGATCTATTTTAGGTGTCAGGAATGCTATGAATAAGTTTAGATGGTAAATTCCTAAAGCATATGTGACTATGTACCATCCCTAAAATAATTCCGGAAAAAATTAAAGGATATACCTATTTGAAGGAACATTTTGAGATGTTATTCTGGTCGAAAAATAGTGTAACAAACTTGTAGGGCGGGTGCATCTTGGAAACCTTGAAAAATGGTTCTTTTGTAGTGTTAATTTCAAATTTAACTCAATCGAGCCAATTTTTATCGAAATTCAATTGCAAATAAATTACAACTTGTTGCAGAAAAAATTAAACTACAGGACCTATCCACCCTAAAAATTTGATCAACTATTTTTTGGCGCAACGCATAATTGAATTAGTTACATATTAAACCCGAATAAATCATGTCATGTTTCAAATGGTAATAAAACAAAATGTATCAAAAATATTGCCGCTTTATCATAACTAACTCAATAATTACAAATAATCCTACGTTCATGCAACACACATTTCACACAAAAGCCACCAAGATGCAAAACAACCAGTCTCTATGATCTACGAATACATACCATTTTTTTGAAGAAATAGATATTTTTTGTTTGAGTATCTATACATTAGCTGTAATGGTGACAATTTCAAAAGTTACAATGGCAAATATTGAACCAGAACCTGTCCCAATAAATTTATAATTTTTGCCAATGTAACTTTGGTAAGAGTAAATTTCTAATTCCTAATCAAAAAAAAATTTAAAAAAAATTTGAGGCGTAATATCTGAGATGATATTTAAATGACCAGTTTATGAGACACATACTTCTGATGATACAAAATTCTTCTACAGACTTCAAATTAGCTTTGCCCACCACCTTATTTGATAATAAATCAGAAAAAAGCCATTCTTTTTTTCTAATCAACGTGAAAATCTTGATAAGCAATTAAGAGTTAATAAGATAATGAGATAATTATCCCCAAAAAATATAAATAACTATAATACCTGAGCTATAATAATGCGGGTTGCGAACCCCAGGAGGAGTAAGATGGTATAGACCCATCGAACTTTCTGCCAGGGTACAGTCTTGTCCAAGAAGCCTTGATACCTCTACAACACACAAAAAAAACAAGCTACAATCTATTCAAGTAGTCACCTGTGAAATGACGACGCGCAGGCCAAACGCAAGCAGCAACCCTAGAGTTGATAACCAACGGATGTGGCTATACGGAGTCCACTTGTCAAGAGCGGCCTGGTGCATCTGTCACAATATAGGGGTGATTTGACAGTATTAATAAGTCAATCACGATATTCGATATTGGAAAAAATAATCTTGGGATGCTTTTTGTTTGGAGAGCAAAAATATGTACAAGTTCAACTCACCTATTATGGAGAACTTTCAACTTTCAATGAACAAAATGTTAATAGATGGAATTTTTTATAGGAGTTATTGAAGTTATTTAGGGCTTCAGATCTGGTGTTTCCATCTGTACCATCCATGAAGGGATTTTATATTGCACAATAATAAACATGTTTTTATTTCAATTAAAAAACTGAAACTTTTTTGTATGTTATAGCTCTGTTCCTACTGAGATGAGAACCGCTCCAGAACCAGTAATTTCCAGTTGCCCACCCATTTTTCAATAAGTTTGAACGTTTATCCTAATTGACAAATGAATTGATCGAATGGAAATTATCGTTCTAGAACGGTTCTCATGTCGGTTGGAACAGAGCTTATATATTACAGTTAAGCTTCTAGATTATTCAGCATAGTAAAATAGAATGAGGCTTAAGGTTTAAAAAATAGTTTAAGGAAAATGTTGTTTCCACTATTCAAATAATTCATTAAAATACAGTTTTGTCTATGTAGGAAAAAAAAACTTATCAATAATAGATATTAATTAACATTGAGTACCAGAAAATGTCTATTTGTTTTTGAAATATATTTTTGTTTTTTAAATTAAATTGTGTACTTTTCATTTTTTATTCTTATTGTAGTTTAAATAACAATAAAGAAGACAGAAATTAATGATTACAATTTTTGGGCGTCAATGAAATGACATAATTACCATGAACTGAGCCATGAACAATAAGGTATGACCTACACTAAATATTTAAGCTTTCCATTTGGGTTTCTAATGAAATATCTAGGTATATACCTATTATTGGCAGCAACTAGCTGAATCCAACAGCACCAGGGCCTCCTTTCAGGCTACGAAGATGGTATATGGACCAACCACTCAAGGGCCTAAATCCCTATGATCCAAAGATGGCACTTTCAGGAACTACTCAACAGAGAATCACAAATTAATGATTACGTCTTCAATGGACACTTTGGGAGCCATCTGTAAGCGAATGCAACCATTGACGCAGAAATCCAACATCGCTTGAAGTGTGCTAGCACGGCGTTCGGACGACTTCTAGAGAAAGTTTTCAACAATCACGACATCAGCGCTGACAAACTTCGCGTCTACAATGCAGTTGTAATACCAACACATACATATGGCTGCGAAACATGGACCACCTACAGAAGATACATAAAAAGCCTAGAGAAATACCACCAACGACGCCTAAGAGAGATCCTACGGATTAAATGGCAAGACCTAAGAACGAACATTAGTGTTTTAGAAGAGGCCAAAACAACTAGCATTGAAGCCCTAATCATCAGGGCTGAATTTATAGTCACTTCTTGAGGTTTCCTCAGACCTTGAGGAAGCCTTGAACATTTAGAATTGACATGACTAACTTGTCAAATAGTAGCAAGTGTCCATTCTAAACTCACGACCTCCAAGGAAGAGTCAAGAAACGACTATAAATTCAGCCCTAAGCACCAACTCCGCTAAACAGGACGCCTCGTCCACATGCCTGAAACACATCTTCCTTGAAAGATTCTCTACAGAAAGAGAGAAAATGAAATCAAGGAGGTCAACAAAAACGCGACAAAGAGGTTCTGAAAGAAAATATGGGAAAGTGTCGCATTGATACCAGCAACTGGGAGACAACAGCAAATGATAGGCCCTCATGGAGTTGAGTAATCACTAACTCAAGTACGTAACTTAATACATGATAACAATTTGTCATCTCTCTTCTACTGAGCATATCATGGAGGCAAAATATGACAAATTTCTTTTCAATTTGAAGTGAACTGAGAGTGACTATACCATTAACTCATTAACACCTTTGACGAACTTGTTAAATGCAACAGGTTACGTTAGACTAAACTAATTAAAGATTAAACATTAAGATATAATGAAAACAGCTTTCGGAATATCAAATATTTTCGACATAGAAGACATAAAAATATTCTACTTTTCAAAAAATCATATAAAAACCAGGAAGTTCAATTTAAAAAATACTTCATTCATGACCAAAGTTTTTTCTAGTCCCAATCCTCAGAATATTTTTGTACAATCATCAATGAAAATGACATGGCCAACAAATGCCCAACTCACATTCACCCAAGAAGCAAGATACTCTTAAAGTGATCAAAATACACCCAACACAAGGGTTCTGTCATAGGTCTTATGACGACTTTAGGTTTTAATTTTCATTCTTTCCAACATGTTGGTGTTTTGTTTTGTAAAGTGACGTGACGAAAACATGAAAATAGCAGAAAGCAGATCAAAAGAGATGGCGACGATGCCCTTGGTTCGTCAAAAAATCAATTAACAAACAAAATCATTCAGCAGTTCCAAAAGATCACCAAACCTCTTCTGTTAGTATTTGTGGGCAGTTTATCACCTGATTTGTATCTGGTGAGCTCAGTCACTTAGGGCGGGTATTATAAAACTACTTTGGCAGTTAACTTCTGGAATCACGTGAGAAGTAACGTCATTCCGGAAGTTAACTTTTAGTTATTCTATGTCAAAATAGTTTTATAATACCCGCCATTAGTCTGTTTCCATATATCTTTGCTTTAATTTCGAGGTTAATTTTGACAAGGGCCCAGTCAGCCTAGGAGTGTATTATATTTCAACATTAAAGGCCCACTTAGGTAGGTATCATAAAAAAACAGTATCTTGCAACATTTGACTATAAATTAAACCTTTTATCAAATGAATTCTATGTTGAAACATTTTATGGACTAAGCGAGGAACTAAGTAAAGCATAAAGTCTTCTTTGGTATTTTTGATGGTAGCTATTATGAGATCGCTTTATAAATATTCAAGAGCCAGTAGATTATACTAAAAAATTAAAAGCATTTGCAAAACAGACAGAAAATTGTGGCTTAAATTTGGGACGCTTTTATTGTACCTAGTTACCGGTTTTTCCTCTGGTTTTTCCGAGGGTTTTTCAAAAAGGAGTTTCCTAATATAAAAATTTCAATGGCTTTTGAATACCCTCAATCATACCAAAGTGAGAGCCACAGCTTCAAATTTAGCCACTCTACCCAGATTTTGATCCTGCTAGCAAATTAACTGAAGAAAAGAAACAAAGTGGATTTCCATAGAACTATTATTGAATGTTGTACGAGATGTTGTAAAATGCATATTATATTTTGTCTAATGATTGGCAACAAGAACTATGTGGAGTCAACTAATATGTAGTCAAAATCTGTATTAGTTGGTAATCAGTTGAATGTAGCTTACGTACTTAATAAAAGCGTTGTTGGTACACAAAATCAACATTAATTCTCGCTAATTAAAATGGAAAATTATATTCTTCCTGTTCCTACGAAAATTTTAATTAGATATCTGTTAGACTTTATTCATAATGGGAAGGTATCTTTGATGAGTTATCTATTGATGACTTGAGCATTAAAAATATGCATAGCTCAAATTACTTGGAAATAACTGATAAAGAAATTATAATTTGAAGTCGAGTAGATATTTGAATAGTTTGTAAGGTTATATGTTTATTATCAAATTGGTAATTAAATTAGGTATGTGAAAATGAATAAAAAGATAGAAAACCAGGATATTTTCACATAAGAATTTGAATTTTTCTTTACCTGTGATATTCCTGTACATATTTGGGAAAGTTTGCTTTTGCTACCCCCTGATCCAAGTAGTTCATCCTCCATTGTTGCTTGCTGTGCTAGGATATGAAAAACATAAATAGAAAGAAAATAAGGTACCTATATATGGTAAATTACCTCTTTTAATTATTAAATTTATTTATAGTTTCCTAGTATTTATTAAAATTTTTGATTCAGCTCATCATTTTCATTTTGGACACGTCTATCATCAAATACCACTAATACCAGCCACGAATGACAGCTGAAAGCACAAGGCACAAAACCGAACACCGGGTGGAGATGACTGAAATGAAATCACCCCAATTGAAAATTTTGACTTTGACAATCAGCCACAGGATTCTATTTTACGAGTCGAGTCGACTTGTCTCGATATCGAATACGACAGCTCCGGGCTTAGCGTGTAATAGGTATTGATAAATCGGAAAATAGAATCGCTATTTTGACAATTCGATACGAATTTCGACTCGACTCGTAAAATAGAATCTGGCCGCAGCTTGTTCCGTTTGTCTGCGATCCATGTTGTACGAAAATTATTTCGGTATTAGTTGTATTCCTTTCACACCTAGGAGGAGCTCCGGAACAGCTCCGGGGCTTCACGCGCTTATTCCTTTGGAAAAGTGTTTGTTGCACCACGCATCTGTTCATCCCTGCAAATCGGGGGCGACTAAACACCGGAGCGAGTAGCTCGAGTGTTTCAAACTCTTGAAAGGAATACAACTATTGCCTCAAAACTGCACCCGATGGATCAAAAAGCGATCCAAAACAGATTCACATGTTCGGCTCAAAACGGATCGTGGCTCTCGGCGAGATTCACGTGTTCGATTTGAGTAATAGAACGCTCTCAAATCTCGCATGGAGCGCTCTTTTTTGCTCCGTCAAATTCGATGGATGAAAGAGTATGAAACACAATAGCGTACATTCGGCTATTGATTTCCACGGTGTGCCTTCGTTTAGATAATAATCGCAGAGATTTGTGACGACGCAGGTCAGACGAGAAGCGCTCTGGGAGCAGTAAAGCCGAAAATGCTATAATTGGTTTGTTTATGAATTACAGAGATGTTAGATTATTCTTTCATATTATTTCTGATGAAATAACAAGATATAAGGAACTGACCTAGTCTTCATCAAAATGCACCGCAAAAAATTCTGTGACCCATTGGGACTGCACTAGAGCCAAATGCAGCTGCAATCCATAGCCTGTTCCGTTTGTCTGACGATCAATAGGCTATTTTTCGCGACACAATTTTTCCAAAGATCTTTGGGGTGTTCATTTGTACTGCTTTTCTTGCTTCAAGCAATCTCAGCAGCAGATCGGCGTTCACTTGTCCCATATATGTATAAGCTCATAATTAGTTGTATTCCTTTCACACCTTTCCGAAACAGCTTTGGGGCGCTATGCGCTTATTCCTTTCGAAAATTGTTTGTTGCACCACGCATTTGTTCCTTTCAAATCGGGAGCGACTAACACCGGAGCGAGTAGCTCGAGTGTTCTAAACTCTTGAAAGGAATACAACTATTAACAGCTCCTAGCAGATCTTCCTGATTTTTCGAGCAGGTAGAGCAAGTACAAATGAATAGCCTATATGTTTGATTTTGACTAATTTGAGGATTACCCAATGACATTGGATTACCCAACATACCCTGAGTTCGGTATTTTGATCTGAGTTCTCCAAGCTTGAATTTACCGTTCCTTTATTTAAAAATTCTACTCGGTGCAGGTTCATTCGCATTCATTTATTTGATACAGCGTTCAACGTTTAACTGCTGGATCGTCGGAAAAATCGTCTCGTTGTGGAGACGTGATTTTAGATACCCCGGCCTGAGCCGTTTTCTCTCGTCCACTTTTTTCAAAACTGTTTTGAATCAACTGACATCGGCGCTCCAGACTTGTGAGGTTCGAGTCGCGCGGTGGCAAACCTACGCAAGTTTTCAACTGGAAAGCGGCTACTATGGATGGATTTATAACCTAAAATTTTGTATGTTCTAAACTACGACCGCTGGCGCAAACAGCTGACGACGTAGTTGATGACCACTTCAATGGTGCTAAGCAATAGGTCGCGATTCATAAAAACGAGGCCGATAAGCAATCCTGCGTAGTAGTGTGTATTATCCTTGACTTTCCCTGACTAGCCTAAGGCGTTTTCTCGCGTCTCAAATGTTTCAAAACATTTTTCAAAACTGGTTTAAGTAATGTCACCATGACGTCATAATTTCTCGGCGCGAGAAAATGGTGTGAAAACTTGGATTGGATTGTATTTCGAAACGGTTTGAACCAATTTTGACATGACGTCATGGGTTTATCGCGAGAATGTACTGTTTCTAAACAGTTTTGAACCAGTTTCAAAAAAGTGGACGCGAGAAAACGCCTCTGTGTAAGCTACAGTGGCTAAATAAACCTTTACAAACAGTGGCGACAATAGGGAACAATAGGGGCTTACCTCCACTGACCTCTATAAATGGACAAGCATTAGCGTTTTCGAAAAATGACAAACTGTAGGACCAAAAACCTGCGCCAAACCGGGTAGCCGTTGAACGTGCGCATTACAATTTCACTGTTTGGAATCGTTTCAAAATCAAGGTTGAGTAAACAGGACCGCATTTAAATATTTTCAAGTAGTGTTTGAAAATGTTCATACAGGCTTAATTATAAGCTTTATATTTGTTGTTTCCCTAATAACACCGATCTCCCAGAAACATCCTATTTATGTACCATTAAGGTCCTTATGTTTCCGACATAAATGGTACATCGCTGCGATGTTTGTAATGTAACATCTCTAGGATGATTGTCCTGAAATGTTTTAGAAACATCCTTTCGAAAATATCTATCGACAAAAAGATTTTTTGTTCTCAAAATTAGATACTTATTACAGCTAAAAAATGGCTAACATTATTTTACAAAACTAGGTAGGACCTCAGACCGGTAGGACCCAGTATTAAATTTGCCAATTTTGTGTGATTTCTGAAAATGTCTCTATCACACACACAAACTAATTTCAAATTCCATAATATACCTGTAATGTATATAGATAATAAGGAACTTAATACTAATTTTGTATTGTAACAACAGCAATATTTAATTTTTCATTCGACTTACAACTTGGAATAAAATAAAATATGTATTGATAAAAGTCTTCTCTCTTTTCAACTTTCAAACATCGTGAATATTCGTGAAGCCGAAGTGTATGGCGCAGGCGCGTGCTCAGGCATTTGTACTTGTACCGGTCAGGACAGGAGGGCACGCCACCACGTCGGGTCGGCGCCGCAGCCCGCGCAGACGGGCAGAATCAGTCGAACGGGTCGTCCTGTGCGCTACGCTTGTGTTGTTGGGCGGAATTTTATTTCGTAATGGCGTCGTGCTGTGTGGAGGATTTGTCAATTTGTGGTTTTTCGCTACACCTAGTTGTGCCATTTTGTGTTCGAAAGGATCTCTGCGACCTACCAGTGCTTATTAGTTGGTGAGAAAGATTATTTGTTGAAAGATAACGTCGCATAACTATCAATTGTTTAGTTTATTTAATTTCAATATGGCGTCGGTTAGGAAATTTCTAACTTTTCTGATAAATAGCCCCTAGAAACCCGAACTTCATTCTTCATTAGGTAAGAGAAAATAACCAATAATTATTTTTTGTTTTCATAGTTGATTACATTCTAGGTGTGCAAGTTGAATTGTACTTCAAGAACTTTGGATTTTGGTTCTGTGGTTGTTTTGGTTAGATAATGGTACCTTTATGAAATTGGAGCACCAAAAAAAAAAGAAAACGCCGAACTCCCCTACTACAACATGCTGCCACTGCCAAACTTTGGTTTTCGATGACATGACGGGGCATAAATACTACATTATTTAGGCAAAATTGTCCGTCGATTATTATTAGTTGATAGATAATCAATATAAGTATACATGTACCTTATTTTTTCAATAAAAAATGTTATTGGAAACTGATGTGCCTACTTAATTTTATAATTTTCAATTTTTGTTTTTTTTTTTGGAAAAAGTTCTGACTTCCAGAAAATAGAACGAAAATTGAAAATTATTGAATTAGGTAATTTTTAATCCATAATCCTAAAATTCATTCACCTATTAAAGTCATACTAGAAACATATAGAGGATGTTTCTGACACCTGCCCCGGATGTATTAGGTACATCCCGCGTCATCTTAGAAACATCCCTGAGAGATGTTTATAGGACATCGCAAATGATGACACGGCTGTTGCCTGCAACATCCCAGGGATGTCCCCAGGAAAATAGGGACCTCCCAGGGACGTCTTCATTATCCCTGATGGATGTTTCTGGAATGTTTCTGCGATGTTACTGTGTTATTAGGGTTTACTTACTTGAAATAGCTAATTCCCGGTATTTTACGTTTATTTTGGCAAAATAAAACCATACAAAGGGGACGCGCTCTTTTCGACTCAATAGTCATAGCCAGGAGGAACTTACAATTTCTACAAGGTCGAAACACTGCTGAAATTAAGTTCAAAAATCCAGCAGTTTTAAAAGTATCTACGCCACACGAAAATTCAAGAAAAACCACTAAAAACACCAACTATCAAACACGAACACGAAATAATAAATCCAGTTCCTCCCGTTCTTAGGATTAATAAATATACTCATAAAAACCATTGTATAAACAAACAGACTTTTTTTATAGGTGCAATGATAAAATTGAAAATACCTGATATTTTGCAGATTCGTTTTTATTTGGTCGGTTAAAATTGACTCCATAAAATAGTTATTTTTGTCACAAGTACCTAAAATGAAGTTTTTCAGGACGAATCATTGCTGTTTCCGGACGAGGCGTTAGCCGAGTCCCGAATAGCAGATGAGCCCTGAAAAACTTCGTTAGGTACGTGTGACAAACACTATTTTTTGTCATACGCTTTTTAGAATTTTTCAGAACGCTAAAATTTATAAAATTTCCTTAATTTTTGAAATCATATAGGTGCAACCAGAAAGGAAAAAAAATCTTAAAAACAAGCATTTTACGGACTTGAATGAGTCCGTAAAATAGCTGTTTTTGGGAGCGTATGACAATAATAATTTGTTTGGATTTTGAATTTATTTTTGAAAGGCAATGTAATATATTCTTAGGAAGTCTCATCAATTATTGTATTATTCAAATTAAATAGTAAAATAGTTCATTAAAATTTATCTTAAGTTAAGTTATCAAAAGTATCGCCATTAGAAAGGATAAATGGAAGTCCTTTGTTAGGTACCTAGCTGGAAGAACGGTCGCTCTCCCAGTTAGGTATTAAGTGATTTTTTTTTTCAAA